AGTTCTAGGTCTCGTTCCAGATCATATTCTCCAGCACATAACAGAGAAAGAAATCACCCAAGAGTATATCAGAATCGTGATTTCCGTGGTCACAACAGAGGCTATATAGAAGGCCCTATTATTTTCGTGGGCGCAACAGAGGCTTTTACCCATGGGGCCAGTATAATCGAGGCGGCTATGGAAACTACCGTTCAAATTGGCAGAATTACCGGCAAGCCTATAGTCCTCGGCGGGGTCGTTCTCGATCCCGATCCCCAAAGAGAAGATCTCCTTCACCAAGGTCCAGGAGTCACTCTAGAAACTCCGATAAGTCTTCTTCTGACAGGTCGAGGCGCTCCTCATCCTCTCGTTCTTCCTCCAACCACAGCCGAGTTGAATCTTCCAAGCGCAAGTCTGCAAAGGAGAAAAAAATCCTCTTCCAAGGATAGTAGGCCATCTCAGGCTGCTGGGGATAACCAGGGTGATGATTCCAAGGAGCAGTCATTCTCTGGAGGCACCTCTCAAGATACAAAAGCATCTGAGAGCTTGAAGCAATGGTCAGATACCACCACCTATGGCCCTGGTTCTACATCAAGGGCTGTTTCTGACCTGAGTCCCCGAGAACGAAGTCCTGCTCTCAAAAGCCCTCTCCAGTCTGTGGTGGTGAGGCGGCGGTCACCCCGTCCTAGCCCTGTGCCAAAGCCTAGCCCTCCACTTTCCAGTACATCCCAGATGGGCTCAACGCTTTCGAGTGGTGCTGGGTATCAGGCTGGGACACACCAAGGCCAGTTCGAACATGGCTCTGGGTCCTTGAGTCCATCCAAAAAGAGCCCTGTGGGTAAGAGTCCACCAGGCACTGGCTCCACATATGGCTCATCTCAGAAGGAAGAGACTGCTGCTTCTGGAGGAGCAGCCTATACAAAGAGGCAAGTATCTGGTTTCCTGCCTGGTAATGCTTTTATCTCACCAGCTGGCAGCTTAATTGTAATGTGATCTAAGTTAGAGCTCTGATTAATGGTAATAAGGTCGTTCTCATTTCCTAAACTTTTCACTAACAAATTTTAATAGTTTAGCTTTACTCTAGCTTTCCTGCCTTCCTGAATTTGTATTGCAGCATAAAGTTTCTTAAGACTCCTCTACAATGATGTTTTCACATTTAAAATTTGCCTTGGATTCTGCCAATATACACCAGAGAACAGTATAGATTTGTGGGTCAGCTATCAAAAAATATGATCTTTGCCAAAATGAGTGGCCATTGGAGCTATTAGACCCTCTATATAAGACCCACCATCTGTTGTGCTTGATCTGCATCAGCCTGCTATTGTGAAGAGCTGCACTTTCATATCCTCTGGTTGAGGAGACTGGGCAGAATGAGAAAAATCCAAGGCTTAGTCAAGGAAGGCCTTGTAAAACTACAAGTTGGGTGTATGTCCCAGTAAAAGCCAACCAGGCTGTGTGTTAGGAGAGGACATGCAGTGTTGGCATCTTTCTACCCTGAGGGACACGGTAAGTTAGAACATGAATATTTTTATGTGTGTGTGAGTAATTTGAATGGCAGAGGACAGTTGCACTGAAATTAAGTTGTGGTCAAGAGGGTCTGACTGGAGCAAATGGTTTCCCACTTTGTTTTATTACGTGCACTTTAAAATACAAATTTATTCCTTGCCAGAACTGTATCTCTAATTAGAAGGCTTAAGCTTTTCCATAAGAAACAATGTGATGATTTCTACTCCTTTAATTAACATGTATTTTGTTTTTATTTGTATTTGCAGTACATTTCATACTTAGGTCTTCTAGGTGACTTGCATCAAATTTGTAGTCTCTTGAGACTTATGTTTCCAAATATGTGTTGTATAAGAGCAAAACAGTCCAAAGTTGAACATTCTATGTTAACTTTGCTGAAAGCAGATTTTAAGTGACTGAGTGAAGGTTGGATAAGACCTTAATTTTTTTTTCCCTAGACCACAGTACAGGTAAGTGGGTTTAGTTTTTTGCTATTTGGGGGTCTGTTTTGGTTCTTGTACCCTAAAAATGACCCTTGTTCTTTTTTGTGTGTGTGTGTAAGACACAACTCCATGGATTGTGTTTGTGTTGGTTTGGTTTTGGTTGTTTTGTTTTGTTTTTGGGGTTTTGGGGTTGTGTTGGGTTTTTTTTTTTCTCTTAAGAAACTCATAAGATCATAGATTGGTTTTTCAGAAATTGTTAGAAAGTAAGCAAGTAAAAATTCCTTAACACTGGAATCCACAAGTCATGTTCTGAGACTCAATAATCGGTGATCATATGGTGCTCTATAGAATACATTGCTTAAGTATTTTGTGTGTCTCCCTTGTGTTTTTGTAACTAGGTATCTAGATGAGCAGAAGACAGAGAATGGAAAAGATAAGGAACAGAAACAAACAAATACTGATAAAGAGAAAATTAAAGAAAAGGGGAGCTTCTCTGATACAGGCTTGGGTGATGGGAAAATGAAATCTGATCCATTTGCTCCCAAAACTGATGTTGAAAAGCCTTTCCGGGGCAGCCAGTCTCCCAAAAGGTATAAGCTTCGAGATGACTTTGAGAAGAAGATGGCTGACTTCCACAAAGATGAGCTGGATGACCAAGACAAGGACAAAGCTAAGGGAAGGAAGGAATCAGAATTTGATGATGAGCCCAAATTTATGTCAAAAGTCATATCAGGTGCAAATAAAAACCAGGAGGAGGAAAAGTCAGGCAAATGGGAAGGCCTGGTGTATGCACCTCCAGGAAAAGAGAAACAGAGGAAAACGGAGGAGCTAGAGGAGGATTCTTTCTCAGAGAGATCCAAAAAGGAGGATCGGGGAGGGACCAAGAGAACCGAGAGTGGGCACAGAGGTTTTGTGCCTGAAAAGAATTTCCGGGTAACCGCATACAAAGCAGTTCATGAGAAAAGTTCATCACCTCCCCCGAGAAAGACCTCTGAGAGCCGAGACAAGCTGGGAGGAAAAGGAGACTTTTCCACAGGGAAGTCTTCCTTTTCCGTCACTCGAGAGGCTCAAGTCAATGTCCGGATGGACTCTTTTGATGAGGACCTTGCACGACCCAGTGGATTACTGGCTCAGGAACGCAAACTTAGTCGGGATTTAGTCCATAGCAACAAAAAGGAGCAAGAATTTCGTTCCATTTTCCAGCACATACAGTCTGCTCAGTCTCAGCGTAGCCCATCAGAACTGTTTGCTCAGCACATAGTGACCATTGTTCACCATGTTAAAGGTTAGTCTGGACTTAACCTGCTTTGGACCCCTATTCCACATTTACTCTGTTACTAACAGTTATGAGTGATAACTTTTATTTCTTTTTACCCCATGGGAACTCTTTACATCAAATAAAGAAAGACCTTTGGAAGGTTTGGGTGCCTTAAAAGAAATTTCAGCCGGGGAGTCATCTCTGTAATTGCAGATAGAAATATTTTAAAATGCTCCTTTGATTATGAGAATATGTGAAGTATTTAACATGTGTTTTAAATGCTAGGACACTTAGTGTGGAGCTTTTTTCTCTGTCACCTTTTTTGCTTTCTGGCAGAAATATCTAGAAATCTATAATTTTTAGAGGGAATTTCTCCTCCAAATCTTTGCACCATTTCTTAAGCAAATAGGGGTAGGTAGTTTGGGGAGTGGGAGAAGTAATACAGAATCTGAGTTGGGCCTGTTACAGATTCCATCATCAATTAGATACGGACAGTTGGTGTTGTAATAAAAAGAGATGTAAGCTCTAGATTTATGTCCTTGTTCCTAAGACGAGAGAACTGTCCTGGAAATCCAGTGCCCAGCGTTGGATTACGTCTGAATTAGCCTTTTTCCTTCCTCTTTTCAGCATGTTTATTAGATGGATTTGAGTACTTCCACATCTCTGTTCATATTGAATATTGTACAGAAATATAACATGAAACGTTACATTCTCTGAATCTCCACAGAGCATCATTTTGGGTCCTCAGGAATGACATTGCATGAACGTTTTACTAAATACCTTAAGAGAGGAACTGAACAGGAAGCAGCCAAAAACAAGA